GCAGAAGCCACCTCTACTTGTACCTTGACACCTGGTTCTTCGATGGAATAATAGGCTGCCATAGTCCCTGAGGTTCCTTGCGGATTCCAAAACCCAAGAATTGTGGGAAGTAACCAGGATTCTTTTTCTTTGGATGTCGATGGCATAGGTTCATGATAACGACAATGAAAGGAGGAGCAGGAGTTGGGGAGACAGCCCATGCATAAAGTGCAGGTGACATAGTCACGAACATCTGGGTTTCATCCCCGGTACCACATAAAGCCAAATGTAATAACATATGCATCTACTCCCAGTGCCAGGGAAGCAAACACAGATGGACTCTCTGGACTAGCTGGCCAGGCATGAGCCCCAGGTACCAGTGAAGGCCCCACCTCAAAAAAAAAAAAAAAAAAAAAAAAACCAAATCAAAACCAAACTAAACAGGCCAAGGTGAGAGACTCCTGTCTAATGACACCTACAGATGACTCTTGGCCACCACTTACACACACACACATACACAAGGGCAGCAATTGGCTGGAAGAAACGTGTTGCTTGAGGGCCTACACCTGAATGGGGACTGGTACTATCAGTGTTTACTACTCCTGGTACTCAGAGCTTTGCTAATTAAGTCAGCCTCTTTTGAGCAACCAGGTCTTCCCAGGCAGTAAACCAGAGGCATTGCATCAGGACAGTGACATGTCACAGAAACCACTCTTGGAGAATAACCGGGAGAAATAAGGTATCCTTTTTGCTTTCTAAGCAGGTAACTAACTTATGGCTCGGTTAGGTGAGAACTGCTTCTGGCTAGTCAGCTAAAGACCCAAAAAGTTAGGGAAAAATAAACTTATTCTCCAAAAAAGTCAGACAACAAATGCCTTTGGCTTTACAAGCAGTTTAGGTTCTATGGTGACTGTTTACTCCTGCCCCCAGGGCACCACAGGACAGTCAGTGAACAGGCCAGACGGAGCTCCAGTAAAACTTTACTTAGAAAAGCAGCAACCATTTGGCTCACAGTACTCCGTGAGACACAGAAGATGGCTTGGCTGCTAGAGGGGATGTAGTCCAGCTTGATCCTTCGTGTGACAGGAACTTCCCAGAGTCTTGCTGTCCTGAGTTTGTATGTAGTGTCGGAACAGCTTCTGGTCAGGTGGTGTGCTCAGAATCTGGGGTGGACGGGGGCTGCTCTAGGAAAGGCTCAGCCGTCTGCCATAGGACGCACACGGGGCTCCTTGGCAAGCACTGTCCCTACTCTGGGCCCCTAGGAGCCTCTGTGCTCACTTCCTGACCACCTGCCCTTCTTTGGTGATGGCCCAGTTGTAGTTCTTCGGGGAGTCCAGCGCTTCTTCTATCCGTGCCTCCAGGTTCTCGCGGGTGATGAAGTTTTTGGCCTCTTCCTATGGGAAAGGAAAGGTTAGCTATATGGGAGCTCCACCAGAGCCGGTGCTCTCTAGCCAGGGAAGGGGGAGGTTCCAAGTGCTCTTAGAGAAGGGTGTCTCGGAGTGCGGGGCCTTTCTGAGCGTCCCATCATTCTCTCAGCAAAATAGTACTAGGTGACCTCGACCACCTTTGCCTGTTTCTTGGCCAATCGCCCATCAGACCTCTCAGCCAGAACCCAAGAACCAACCGTGACACCCTGCTGAGAGGGGGCGGACTCTCCAGCTCGTCAGGAGCTCTTACACTGAAGAAAGCTTCGCTGTCTCAGTTATAGGTGTCCCTGATGTGACTATCCCCTGCGAGGGCAAACACTCCCTCCTTGTGCGGAGCGAGAAGACTCCCGGTGCTGCGTTCCCCGGAGTCCCCAATGCCCGGCTCCCCATGACCTTGGCCCACCTGCAGCTGGAGGACTTCTTGCTCTTTCAGTTGCACCCAAGCCTGTTTTTCCCGGGCCCGCTGGGCCTGGTCCTCCGCCTGTCGCAGCTCCTGGTCCCGCGCTTCCAGCTGCAACCTAGCTATCCTGAAAGGGGCGAGAGGCCGAGGGTGAGGGGGCCCACCCAGCCCACCCAGCCCTTCACCCCCTGCTCGCACCTTAGCTGCTGCAGCCGCCGGTTCTCCTCCTGGTTCCAGGCCATGAGCGCCCGGTGCTCCTCGGCGGCCTCCCGCACCCTGCGCTCAGCCAGGACCCCGGACCGGGCCTCGTACGCCTTCCTGCGCACTTCCGACGCGAACTCTTGCCTGGGTGGGGACGGGCTTCAAGTCGGCACCCATCCTCCCTCCCCAACACTCCCGGGGGCTGCCGATGGCCGCCTGCCCTTTCCACACACCTGAGCGCGCCCACGGTCTGCCGGTACTGCCGATAGCGCTCGGTCAACACGAAGAATTCCGCGGGGTCCACTGCGGGCGGCATCTTCACGCGCCCGACCTTGGACTTGGCAGGCGGGTCGTGGCGGGTTTTGCGGCCGCGCGCGGGCAGGACCAGCACGGTCGAGGGCTGGCACCCGGGCCGCGGGGCCAGGCGCTTCAGGGCGCGCAACATGACAGCGGCGCCCGGCGGCACGCCCGGCCCGGAAGTGGCCGCGGAGCACCACGGGAGTCGCGGTCTCGCGGCCCGGCCCTCTTGGGGCGGGGCTTTTGTTGTCTGGCCAGTCGCCTCCCAAGAGTGGGAGGGGCGGAGAACCTTGACGGACACCGCTAGACGGCAGCGTCACCCGCGTGTGACCCGCACACCACCGGACGCCCCGTCTACCGGTTCCCAAGCCTGGACACCGCCCCCAAGTGTTTGGCTGTGCGACTGGCGGGCGGGCTGCTTACCCCGTCATGCCGGACGCACGAAATTCTGAGCTTATAGCCACTTAAGTTAGGCTCACAGGACCTTTTAGTAAACTACAAACCATTCCCTTGCACTGCACTGCCCTGTTGTGGTCTTGGGCAGCTCTGCAGTGGCCACAGTTCTTAGGATCAGTGACTGTTATGACCTTACGATGGTGACCTTTGTTCTTTACAACCTGACCCAGGGCCTGCCCACCTTGAGAAATACTGGCTTGACTGTCAAGAAACCTGAGGGACTCGGCTGCGACTCTTTATTTATGAAGTTTTTTAGTACTCTTTCCTCTTCACCTGAATAAACAGTTGATCAGTATTGCAGGAGACTACTCCCCCCCCCCCCCCCCCCCCCCCCCCCCCCCCCCCCCCCCCCCCCCCCCCCCCCCCCCCC